TCTCTCTCTCTCTCTCTCTCTCTCTTTCTCTCTCTGTGAACTACACAGAATTTAATATACAATGTATTGATATATCAATTTCATTATAAAAGAAGTATATCTTAATTTTCAAAAAAAATATATATTTTAAAGTACATAACAAGCACATTATAATTTTAACTGTTTCAGCATCCAATATATGGCGCATGATACAACATTTGATAAGTGCTGATGTGTTCTGGACTGGTATCCGCACATATGTTAATAGCAAACAGTAAGTAATATCTATTTTTCTCTTTTGCTTGATAATAATTACATGAATTGAAGAAGAATGACGTATTTGAAATTCTACCATCTAAAAATATAAATCTATCTTCAAACCTATGTAGTTATTTAAAAACTGCGATTATCTTCAAACCTATCGATTTAACTTAAAATCTACAAAACATCATAACAATGATTTTTCAAAGAAAGACACCACAACAGACCATTTTGTTTTTAAAAATTACCTCTTAGCTAATAACACAAAATAAAAATTTATATACCAGACATTGCCCCCTATTAAATGTCATTGTATTTTTTATATTATTGTTTCTAACTTTTAAGAAATTAACGTTTTTCGTTAAAGCACACGAAAATTGAAAATATTGGATTCCAAAACCGACGTATCTACTAGAAATTATAGAGCATGTTAGAAATATAAAAATGTACTGCTATAAATTCTTGAATAATGTAATAAGTTATTTATTATTACAAATCTATTCCAAATTTTTTTGCATTACAATACATAAGAAATTCGTAACATCGTTAATATATTAATAATATAGTAATACCATTTTTTTTGTGTGTTCAAAGACATCTATAAAATACTAGATAGATACAATTCAATTTTTTGTTTTTAAAGTGAAATTTACGTATGTCAATTTATATTAATTTACATATCAATAAATCGCCCACTGTAGAATATGCTGGTTTTCGGTACACCTTAATAAAATATCCTTCTAATCGTACCAAGAGAAAAGCAATAAAAACAAAAGTTAAAGTGAAATACCTTTAAGAAGCTACTAGTATGTAGAATAACGTAATATTATTAAAAAATATAATTATTGTTATTTAGATTAAATATTCTCCACAAAAGTTATAAAAACGAAGATTTCAAAGTTAAAGAATATGATGTGAATATATAAATGATGTAGTACATAAATAAACAAGAAATATATACAAACTATAAATTTTGAATGAATTAACTACTTGAACAAATTACGTCTATATTATTTAAATTAGTTTTGATAAAACGTAACATTTCAATTCTGGGAAATATGTTACTTTAAGAGGCCTAAATCAATTTTGATTCTCAACCCCTCCCACTCTCTCTCTCTCTCGCTCTTTCTCTCTATCTATCTATTTACTTATCTATCTTCTAAAATCGAAATACTATTTCTATTTATGTAAATTAAAATTGATTTTGGAAGTTCGATCGAATTAACTTTGATAGTCTTTTAAAAACTAATATTCGAAATATATAGATACATAGATAGAGAAACTTTTATTCTTTATATTATAGTCAAAATTTATAATATAATTGTAAGTTCCAATTATACAAAATATAAGTGTAAATGAAAGAAAATAAGATATTTTGATAAGTAGTGATTTTTATCTACAATTTAAAGAACAATTTTAATTTATTGCAAATATAAGACTGCATAAAAGAAGACTTTCCAAATCCAAAAGGATATATCCCACATATTATCCTTCATGTACAATTACACAAATATATTACTAATTACTAATTATACAAACATATTGTTACATTCATCGGTTCGATTTATATCGAAGCGCGTAACACAACTGTTCACTCACACTTTCACTCCGAAATAAGAGACACTTTTAAAGAATAACTATAACTTTAATAAAACTCAACGAATAAGAACAGAACAAGAATAATTACAATAGTAATAGCCGTCGTACAAACACGTCTGTACGAAACGACAGCTGTCGCGAGACTCTCTTGTCGTTGTTATCAACAACAACAACATGACAACGAGACGTTCGATGTTCTTTTAATAAATTTCCATGCTGACTCGATGAACGATCGGGAACACCGCAGGGACGTAACATTGTCCCCTCCTTATTAAATTGTCGTCCCGACAATCGCTGGGTTAATCGTTGTCCTCTCGTTCCAAGGCGTTGACTTCAAGGAGCCATAACGACTTCCTGCTCTACCCTGAGCTGCTGCTGCAGATTACCGAGCGCCGTTATTTTTTGGCCCCAATCAAACACTCTTTAGGAATATGCAGGATACTGCCGTCGAGCCCAAGCAAGGCCGAAATTCTTTCAGCAATCTCGTCGAATCCAGAGCATCTGATGTGTCTTCTTGTCCTAACTGGACGGCACATCTTAGGCCCAATCGACTTTACTGGTTCCAGATAAATTTTTGTTGTCCCAATGTGCGATCTTCAGGCAAGAGGGGGAAAAACTTTCTGTGGACCCTCCGTCCTCCAAAGAGGACTCCTCAAGCTCCTGCCTCAGCATTTGCCCAAAGATCCCCGGAAAAACCACAGATAAAAAAAAACCGTGGATGAGGCAGTCTTCATTTAAAGATTTCAATTTCTCGTGAGTCTTTCTCTCCTCTCTTCGTTTTCTCGTTGTCATTCTTCAAACTTTTCCTGTAAAACAAATGAGTATGCAAGATATTTTTTTTAAATAACTTTCCTAAACTCTCCTAAACTCTTCTAAAACTCTCCTAATTCAATTTTTGTCTCATATAAAATGGAGCCAATCTATCGGCGTGGACTATTTTACTTTTATGCCTATACGATTTCTGAATTCCAAAAACAACATCACTAAGTTTTCTAATTATTTTATAGGGACCTTCCCAATTACTCTGTAGCTTCCGCTACCGTATTAGCTTTAATATTCTTTAATGGAAGAGTTTCAACCCATTTGGTAAAACAATCAATTATTACCAATAAATATCGATTTCCAACCGAAGTAGTAGGAAGAAAACCAAGTATATCCATCTGAACTCTTTCAAATGGAACTTCTACATTATAAATTTGTAGTGGGGATTTTCCTTTTCCCGAAGGACCCTTCTTTGCTACACAGATTTTGCACAAACGGCACCAATCTTCCACATCATGTTTACATGTAGCCCAATAAAAACGTTTTCGAATTTTTTCTAATGTCCTGTTAACTCCAAAATGTTCACCAGACGCGGAGTTATGAGCTACTTCCAATATTTAAAAAATACACTTTCTAGGAACAATAATCTGGAAAACAACAAATTTAAAATTTGGGGATTCCCATTTCTTAAAAAGAACACCATCTTTCACAACTAACGCATCCCAATAAGATAAATAAATTTTTGCTGAAACATCCAGCATAAAAATTTTTTGTCGAAGAGGACAATTTCCCGATTCTTTTCCTTGTAGGAAAACCGAAATAACGGGATCTTCTAATTGTTTTTGCCCCCATTCTTCCAAATTATCTTCCCCTAAAACTATTCGAGCAACTGCATTTTCTTTGGATTGTACTTTGGCACAATAAACACATCCTAATTCCTCACAAGGACGTCTTGATAGCCCATCAGCATTTTGATGTAGTCGTCTTTTCCGATAAACTATTTCGAATTTATATTGTTGTAACCTTTCCAACCATCGGGCTAGTTGGCCTTCCAAATCCTTAAAAGACATTAACCACCGAAGAGAAATGTGATCCGTCCAAATTAAGAATTTTCTTCCATATAAATAATGATGAAACGACTTCAGTGATTCAACAATAGCCAACAATTCCCGTCGTGTTACACAATAATTCCTTTCTGTCTTACTTAAGACTCGGCTGAAATAGGCAATCACTTTCTCAGTACCACCCTGAACTTGTGATAAAACTGCTCCAATTCCGTGATTCGAAGCATCAGTATCAAGAATAAACTCTCCTTGTTCCATAGAAAAAGAAAGGATCGGTGAAGAAATTAAATTCCGCTTTAACTCTTCAAAAGCCTCTTGACAAGATTGAGACCATTCAAATTTGACTTGTTCCTCGGTGAGCATAAAAAGAGGTTTTGCTATCAAAGAAAAGCTTTTTACAAACTTCCTATAGTAGGAACAAAATCCCAGAAAACTTCGAACCTGTTTCTTAGTTCGAGGGATAGGCCAGTTTTCCACGGCAGTAATTTTCTCGGGATCCGTGGTAATGCCTTGTTCAGATACAATATGTCCCAAATACTTAATTTTCTTTCCAAAGAGAGAACACTTTTTGAGATTAATCTTCAGATTTGCCAAACGTAAGCAAAGAAAAACCTTTCTTAAATTGGCCAACATTCCCTCAAATGAATTGCTGAAAACAATGACATCGTCAAGATACACTAAACAGATTTTAGATAAAATATCTCGTAAAACTGTCTCCATTAATCGCTCAAAAGTAACTGGAGCATTACACAAACCGAACGGTATAACCGTAAATTGCCATAATCCGTTCCCTACGGAAAACGCCGTCTTTTCTCTATCTTCAGAACGAACTTTTACCTGCCAATATCCACTCTTTAAATCTAGAGTGGAAAACCAGGAATTTCCTGATAACCGATCTAAAATATCTTGAATGCGTGGCAATGGATAAGAATCTTTGATTGTGACAGCATTCAACTTTCTATAGTCCACACAGAATCTTAATGTTCCATCCTTCTTTCTCACCAAAACCACAGGAGAAGTCCATGGACTTTGAGATTCTTCAATTACTCCTTGCGACTTCATTTCCTGAATAATTTGATTTACATCTTTCCTAAGATGTATAGGAACTCTACGAAGAGCTGTTTTATAGGCCTTAGGATCATTTATATTAATAGCATGTTCAAGAACCTCACAATTTCCTGAAATTAAATTCTCCGAAAATACATCTTGAAATTCATTCAAAAAATTCAGTAAAAATGTCCTTTTAAGAAAAATCAAGATTCTTAGAATTTTCCTCAAAAAATGTTTCCAAGAAACAGGGAACTTTGTCTTTAGAAATCATGCGCGAACATGGAAATTCAACCACATCTTTAGAATATTCAAAATTCCCAAAGACAGGCTCAAAAATTTTTTCCAAATTAATTTCTTGAAGAAAATCAGTGCCTAATATACAGTCATCTGAAATACTAGCAACCAGTATTGGAATATCTAAAGAATACTTTCCCAAATCTACTCTGACAATAACTTTGTAACAAATTGAAACAGTTTCTCCCGTTGGATATTTAAGAAAACAATTATTTATTTCAAATTGCCGCTTTGGCCCTTTGATTAATTTTTCATTTAAAATTGAAACATCGGAACCCGTATCTATTTTAAATTCACAATTTTTACTATCAAGTTTACCATTATAATAAAAAAATTTTTTTTAACGCTATTTATCCTATAACAATAATTATACATTTTTTCCGGGGCAGTCATTTTATTAGTCGAACCTGCCCCGCAAAGCTCGACTAACCCTTGTTTTCCGCAACAAATGAAGGACATTCTGACCGGAAGTGCCCCTGAGCACCACATTGCCAACATTCTTTATTCCGCGGCACAAATTTATTTTTCTGATATTTATTAAATTTATTATAATTTAAAAATTTTTTTTTATTATTGTTATTCACATTATTTTTTTTAGATTCATTTTGTTTATTATATTGAAATTTATCGAATTTATTTGTGTTTTCTTGAAATTTATTTGAATTAAATTTATTTTTTGGAAAACTATTTTCCTGTATAACTTTTACGGCCATAGCTCTTTCCATCGCTAATTTAAAGGAAGTTACACTTTCCAATTGTAATGTGTGCTTTATAAATCCGTCTGATAATGCAGCGATAAATTGTGCGCAAGCTATTTTGTCTCTCACTTCATGAGTGCATTCCGGATAAGCCAGGCGAGACAATCGTTCAATGTCCGCTCCCAGAATAGCTAAATCTTCCAAAAATTTTTGTTTACGATTCGTGAACTGTGTGTAATAAGTTTGTGCCAAATGACTCTCCCCAAATCGCAATTCTAATTTTGACTTTAATTCTTCAAATTGAAGATTCTCGATTTCCAAAATTCCGTTTAATACTGAACGCGCTTTTCCCCTCAAGCACGATGCTAAAACTACCGTTTTTAACGAATTATTCCATGCGTTTGCTCGCACTATCAAATCGAATTGCGTCAAAAATTCTCTTAACGAACCCGTTCCATCAAACGTGTCTGGTTTTAATTTATAACCTAATTCTTTATTAATTGATTCGCGCGCACGGCACTCCTCAAAATTAGCTACTCTATAATCGCCTCTCTCTCTTTCTTTATTATCAGAATGACTTAGCTGGTTAATCTCCTGTTCCAAGCGATGCAGCGTCTCATCTCTCAGTCGGAGCTCCGTCTGCATCTGCTCTCGTTCCGTTTCCCGTTCTTCGCGGAGCTGTCCAAGCTCTTGCAGGATCGCACGCAACGTCTCCGACTCGGCTGTCATCGCTGGAGTTTGTGAACGAATTCTCCTCGGAGAATGAACAGTTGTCATTCCTTTCATCTATTTCGTTCTTTGCCGAACTATCCCGGACGAGCCTCCAAAATGTTACGTTTACCGGTTCGATTTATATCGAAGCGCGTAACACAACCGTTCACTCACACTTTCACTCCGAAATAAGAGACACTTTTAAAGAATAACTATAACTTTAATAAAACTCAACGAATAAGAACAGAACAAGAATAATTACAATAGTAATAGCCGTCATACAAACACGTCTGTACGAAACGACAGCTGTCGTGAGACTCTCTTGTCGTTGTTATCAACAACAACAACATGATAACGAGACGTTCGATGTTCTTTTAATAAATTTCCATGCTGACTCAATGAACGATCGGGAACACCGCAGGGACGTAACAATATAAATTGACATTTTCACCACCGTTATATATTTGGTAGTGCACAACGCTTGAAGAACTGATGTAAAATTCGATATATCATATTACAAGACCTAATACCATGATTTAAAAAACAGAAAACGTAAAATTACGTGACCGGCTGCTGACTTATAAAAAAAAATGATCGTAAAAATACGTGAGCGGTCGCGAAAGTGTTAATATCTTAATATACTAAATATACAAAATAAATAAATTTTGAGTATTACAAACAAACAATTTTTTCAAAAATTTGTACAATGCTTCTATAAAAATGTTCTACTTTACAGATATAATCAAACAAATGATTTATGGAACATGATGCAAACTATTATACCAAATAACGCAACCGCATTTATTGTAAAAAGACTTATATCTATTTGGATAGCGGAAAAATATTATCCTGTACTGTATGTGACACGAGATTATTTGACTAATACGACAATATTTGAATATCTTAATTTCGATTTTATTGACGAGGATACAGAACATCGTTCAACATTCGTGACATATACGACAAAATCAATCATGAACTTCCAAGACATTTATCACAATAATTCCTTTTGGTTATCACCGCAAAAACCGGTAAAATTAGTGCAAGAGTTTGATAAAGATGATTGGATTATAGTTAATTTACGACAAATAGGTAAATATAAAACATTACATTTATTATGTATTATCTTCGTATCTTTTTTGCTTTTTTTAATCCTACACACCTTAATACTTGTGACACACGCACTCGCACTGGCAAGTGTGCGTGTCATTCAGGAAAACATTTTTATATGCTAATCGCTCTTACATTTTTTTCAAACAAATTGCTTAAATTATTTTGTTAAAAAATAAATAATTTGAGGAAATGTTTTACAAAAAACGATACAAATTATTTAAAAACTATTTTTTGATAATTTCTATCAAGATACTTTAATGATGAAAGCTTTCTTTTTTATAATAGGGTATTATCGTGTTAATTATGATACTGAAAATTGGCTTAATCTTGCGCAATACATGAATTCTGTGAAATATGTCGACATTCATGTTCTCAATCGGGCTCAAATCATAGATGATGCATTTTACTTCTTTATGCATGAACAAATTGATTACGTTACGTTTTGGAAAATTTCTGCATTTTTATCACGAGAAATGAATTATGTAGCATGGTATCCTATGTTTAAAGCTTTTGAACATATGAGTGTTATAGTTTCAATTAAAGATACTGATGACCTAAAGGTAGATAACAGGAAGTTTCTATAAGAAGCATTGCATCAAAACATTATGTATACAGAGTAATACAAAACAATTTCCTTAAAATATCATATTGAGTGATTTTTAAGATAATTTTTCGTTTAGCAAATCTTTGTTCGAAGTTCTTAGTTTTAGAGATATAATTAAAAATTGTTTGCTACTCGTACACAGCGGACAGGCAGTAATTGTGCAATGCATCATAAAAGTAACGTAATACTTTACAGTCATAATGTGTGTGAGTGTGAGGAGTGAACCATTTTCAATTATAACAGTAAAAACTAAGTTTCGGACAAAATTTTGCAAGAAGAAAAACCGTTTTCGGAATCGCTCACATATGATATTTCAAGGACATCAGGTTTTTTGGAATTACTTTGTAAGTTCACTTTGTAATATAGAAAGTTAAAATAACTTTATATATGTATAAATATACATACATATTTTTTGCAAATAGCAATAGAAAATTAAAATTTATATTACTTACCAATTTTTAGGAAAAAATGGAAAAAATATTGGGTGAAGTTTTGTATGCAATAAGATATTTTGCACAACAATACGAAAGCGATCTCACCGAATGTTTAAGAGAGGAAGCCATAAAATGGGCATGTATTATTGGTAACAAGAAATGTAGAGAAGTAGCCAATATGGAAATGACAAGATATCTACATTCTGAAAGTGGCATGTAAGAAGTTGTACAACCACAATATTTATATAGACAATTTCTGTTGCTTTATGTATATTTATTTTCTATACATCAAATACTGTACTACATAAATTACTTTATCATAAAATGAAATAAATTTTTGCAAGAAATACTTTTTTCTGGTAAAGCAGGTTTGTAATGCAATCGGAATGGAAAAGATGGATGTATTGTAATGGTTTGGTATCAGCGAACAAAACCATATGGTACGCTGTATGGTACAAATGGGCAGTTACTGGTGATATAAAATTTTTGGAATATTCAACTTGCAGTGAAGATCCTGGAGTCATATCTCATTATTTGTGGCTAAATTTCGTTGATAGTATTTTAATAAAACACAATACACGTGCTCACATATTTCTTCTTACCGTTGCGAGACATGCAAGAAACGATATAGTTTGCAATTTTATATTGCAAAATCTCAAAAATATTACATTTATGTTTACCTCCAACACGTAATAATAATTTTTTTATAATTATATCTCTATATTTAAATATATATAATATTTTAAATTTAAATATATGTATGTATATATAATATACCGGGTGTTTCAGACCACCCGTCCCAACCTTTTAAAACGTAGAGATGTGCTTGTACAAAAAAATAGCTCAGACGAAATTTGCATGATTTCGAGGGATCTATCTGAGGGTGACCTTGACTTTGACCTCGCAGTTGATTTTCAAGGTCATTTGAAGGTCAGAGTAATTTTTTTAAATGGAAACCCCTTATTTTTTATTCCAAAATCTAATAGCTGGTGTCAAGAGCTTTTCAAAACACTATAATAAAGTTATTTTTCATTAAGTACTTTTTGAGTTATGAGGCTTGTAAATTACAGTATTTTGACATAAAATACAAAATATCTTG